TTTTACGAGCGATGACTAGGAGTCCCACAGCCCCATCCGAGAATTTCGGATCATTCATGGACAGATAATGACTGCGATCCGGACCGAAACTACATGCCATCTCGAATGCAAGGCGCAGACAAAGCGGTGCAGACGTTGTAAAGAGCTCGAGAAAAAAAACTTGCCAGAAAAATCCAGATTCAGACCAACAGCAACCGTACACAATGTCAGTGCTAAAAAGCACTTGAGGGTATTTCGCAGGGAATAATCAAACTCCCGCCTAAGCTATGGTGAAAACAGATCATCCATTACAAGTTTAATACAACATATCTTGTAAAAATACATATGCGGTGAAAGTATTATCCGATGGATCCCGAATCGTATAAGAACAGCAGCAAATGGCAGCACGTGTAGTTCACGAACAGACAAAGTCCTATTCAAAATACACTACCTATTCAAAATACACTACATTTATCTTTTGGGACGCTGGGGCTTACCTTACAGCGTACTGCAGTTTCTCGTCTGTAGCAACCCTGGTGAAGGAAAAGAAGATATAACGATATACTTCGACCACTGCCGATATGTAAATAATGTCACTGTCTGGAATTGGATAGATACAAAATTGAATCTGTGTATCAGGTCGCCACTCAATTTTTACGTGATACGCAGGGTGATGCTGAAAAAAGAGGGGACAGAAAAAACGGAGACAGATAAAATCTCAGGTACGGAGTACGAATCTGTCACACAACCTTCAAGCGATGACTGGTGTGAAATTCATTGATATTTACGTCGATTCCCCTTTCTCTTAGCATGATTTGCTGTCCATCCTCTCCTGTGTTCAGAATTATCCTTTCATGTTTCCATCCAGTGTACCAAATCCAAAAGCTATGTTGCGGTGTCGGGAAGGATATTGTCCTGTGAATCAGATTTATATATTCTTATAATTTAATGTTATGACTTCTTGATACGTCAGTATTCAGCTGGTCACCACATCCGATGGCCTGTTTAAATTTTTCATCCAGCCAAGTTCTATCCTCCCTCAAAGTCGTTACATCTATGTTGTGGTCGTTCATCTGTGTCCACTAGCAACTGGAACACTACAGACACGCACAACTGACACTCGTTTCTAAATATCCACGCCTGAAGTTGGGGCTTACAACCCAGTCATATATGTCTATTAAGGTCTTTTCAAATACTATATTGTACAAAGTCGTAAGAATAGGGCATGTTCGTTCACGTATTACTTGAATCCTGATGACAACGCTGTAGAAGCGATATATAGTTTTGAAGATATTTTTGTCGACTATCACATAGTGTCGCAAGTTTTTCAAGCTTTTGCAGCCAATGAACTTCAAGTTCAGTGAAACAAAGCAGGTGATAAATTATATACCATAAAAGAGAAGCTTAAACAATCAATCAGATTCTACGACCTGATATAAAGTCACATATGCCAATCAAAGTGAGAAGATGCATTCTCTACATTGTATGCTGCAGTTTCATTCATCCTCTAGGAAATATGTTAAACAAAAACAACTGGTCACTAAAGTACAAGCGTAATCAATGCGAGAGTTTGTCAAAAGGCTTTTTTATAATATACTGGTGAACATTTAGCTCCTCTTTTACGCGTGTTTCTCCATCTTCCAGGTCAGGTTATAGAGTATTATTTTTCTTCGGATTATCACTATGTTTAAAAAAAAGTCGTGAAACAATCAGCATCTAACATGTCTTTAGAGTACGTGTATTTTTTTTGTACAAATAAAAACTAAGGATGTGCTCTGTGTGACTTCTGATACAACTACATCACGAGACAGTTGGTAAAATTTCATATCATACTCTCAACGATGGCTATCATTTTGAAGCTTTTGAAGTCTACAAGAGAAGATTACCATAAGTTGATCTATGGAAGTCGACAGCACATGGCAGAGCAAAATTCGAAAACTATATTTTAGGGGTTTTGATGACAAGCAAACATACAAGTTTTTCTCCTCCACATCGACATGCACTCAAGCCATACAAACATTAGAGCAGATTATAACAACAACAACAAAAAAAACTAAGCTGCTGATGGCCATAGATGTTTTCACCTCATTCGCTTATGGAACTACAAATGCTACTCTCAACGATACTCCAGGACCTATTCAAATATCATCAGAAGAGAATACCATCAGAAGATTGAAACACGTACTGTCTTCGTCTCCTCCTGTCTCACTTCATTTTAGGGTTTTAGGGTTTTAGGGTTTTTCATCTATTCTGCGGCTTTTGCATCCTAGGCAATTTAGTGACCGCAAAATCTCTGAGCTGTGCTAGGGATGCATGTGTGCAAAGATAGGGCCGGATTCCTCTGCTATGGGGTACAAAAAGTTGCACATCAAGGGTCTTTTACTTCTCAATTGTAAATATGATATGCCCCAGATAATAAAACAGACTCGCAATTTTCGGCGGAGCAAAATGACGAGACCAAAAACTCAGTATCCAGTCGTATACACATTGAACGTGTGAATGCGAGTGCAAAGGTAGTCAAGATGTTGGCTCAAGAAAACCGTGTAGTCTATGTTCACCTGTTCCTCGAAGCAGCAGAAATTCGCTTCGATCTCACGGACATACCTTTTTCGTTTGTGAGACGATGAGATGATTCTAATCTAAACCTCTTATACTTTTAAAAATAAATGGTACTTGCTCAGGTGGGTGTATCAATGATTACATACTGCTAATTCTTTCTGCCTCTTTATCAATAATGAAGGGCCATCACCATTTTATCCAAGTTTATTTTTCACAATATTCATCTCTTGCATAGCTGGTCGATCAGATACACGATCTAAATACTTTTTACGTTTATGCACTGGCGACTTGTTTCTTTCACACCGACGTCGCCGTCTAGTACAGCCTGCTGTGTTTCTTCCATGGGTTAGGGTGTGGGGAAATCTCCATTGTCGTAAGCCTGTGCGTATTGTGACCCCTATGTGTCACGCAGCGGTGCTCTTTATCTTGTATACCAGGTGTACTGGTTGTCATTTGTTGTTGATCGCCGGTGATGTCGGTGTTTCCCATAATCATTCTAAATACCGGAGCTTTCACATCGATTTTGAGGTCACCATGCTCGTGCGTAAAGGTATGCTTTCGGGGCTCAACTGTTTTACGTTCCGATGGTCTGCCTCACCAAGAGCAGATCGCTGCATAGCACACCAAGCAAACAAAGCTAGTAAGTACACGTAACACCTAAACCTACCAAACATTCACAGAATCAAATATACTTGTCACCTGACTTTAGTAAGCATTCACAATATCAAATATACCTATCACTTAAAACCTAGTAAACATTCACAAAACTCACCGACTGTTTGATGTAGCTACTATCACTTACACCAGCTTTCGGTTAAGCAGTTGCTTCGTTTGTAGATGGTTGCTGCGATAGAAATACGCGTGCATGTATATAAACATCCGATTGGTCGCTATCAAACTTGTACACACCGGTATCGTCAGCCATATGTATTTATGCGCAAATCGAAAGGGCTACGTCGGCTATGGAAGGTTGGTCGCTTATGTTTATCATTCTGTGTGCTGCGATAGTCTACGTTCCTAATAATATAGTGTACACTGCTCTCCCAAAAAATACAACACGCTATAAAGAGAAGTCATATGTGTGGCAACTTATGGGCATTTATCTCGATTTACAATCATGTACTTGACATTACGCTGGAATATATCTGGTCTGGGTGATACCATTTTTGCCAAGTACAGCTTTGACGCAAAAAAAAAAGGTTGTATTCACCACGAGTGGAAGCTGTTACTAATCTCATCATTTAACTTTGTACCGGATATTCCTTGGACAAAAAGAGTGGCATAGGCTCGTGCCGTTCCGTCGTAGTTGAACCCCCAATCTATTCAAGTATGCATGCATTGTAGATTGAAACGCAAAGTTGCATTCGTCGTCCACTCGGAGCTTCTTGATTTTTAACGGGCCGTGTGCACTTGATCTCTGTATTTGTTCGCAATCCGTTATAGGCTCATGGGGATCTGGTGAAAGCCCTATGCGAACTCAACTAAGTGGCGCGTCTCTGGCATGTAAATGCCTCACTATAAATACATGGAGCCATACCCGATGCAAGCGACAACCCCACGCTATGACGATATGCATGCAGTGTGCAGGTGTACCCACACACACACCCTATAACGTCTGGTGAAATCACACTCACACCTCCATACAGCACCAGGTCGCTGTCGCGCGGTGTACGAACGGAGCTCGACGGCTGTAGTATGCACAGATACACAAGCTGTGCAGCGGCCCCGAACGGAGCAACAACGGAAGGACAGCCCATTGGCAAGCAACAGCCGATGGCGGCGTGTGTGTGATCGCACGTCCGAGTGGTAGTCGCAGTTAGAAACTCCACACCATCGTTACTCGACCTTTTGTTCACATTCGTTAATCGAGTGTTCGTCATTTCATTAACGCAGCAGCAGAGTCGACCATGTGCTTGCTTGTGCGTTGCCCACGGTCTACTGCCATTAAAGGCAAAAATCGGCTCACACGCGAGACTTCTGCAAGTGCATTCGAATACATAGAAATTCCTTTCGATTTGCTTTCCAACTGAGCCCGGGGGCACCAAATTATTTTTGGACATGTATGCATCTCGTTAACTTTAAGAGCATGCAGGCAATTGTGGCGCGTGACAGTGGTCTAATGTTAAGTGGATACCTCTGGTGCGCCAACGAAGCACTTCCGATTGATTGAAACGCGTGCAAGCCTATGCTCGATTTGTTCGCTCTATGCTGCAGAATCCTCAGTCCACCAGCTGGCACGCCTGGTAGTACTCTTGTGACACCTACCTTGGTGTGCGTATCCGAATGTACCTAAGTGTACCTACTCTAAAAGGTACGTGTGTATGCACCAGTTTGGCGCCAAGGACGATTTCTGTTATCTGTTGTTTTGATCGGTGCCAGTCAAAACGTCTTGCCCCAAAATTCTTAGCAGCTCAGTATATGATTATACACGTCTACTACACTGCTCCTCATGTTCGAACACCCTAGTTCTGCGCCTCCTGACTAACCACAGGTGCCCTTGGTGTCTTGTTATTATTCCACTTCTTGCCTGAGTGCTGTGGGGGTTGTGGTGATGGCGAAGCAGCATTCGATGATGCATTGCTCCTGCGCCCTCCACTATGGTGTGAATGTGATGATTTGGGTCTGTTATGGCCCTGCCCTTGACCTGGGTGCTGGGGCTGATTCTGTCCCAGTGTTTGGTGTTGTTGGTGCATGTTAGATGGCAGTCCCTGCGGGTGTCCGTGTGGCGAGAATGGTCCTACCCGGCCTCCATGCTGGCGCATGAGCTGGGCTTGAGCTTGAGCGTGTGCCTGAGCTTGTGCGAACGCATGCGCTTGCCCCTGTGCGTGCGCATGTATAGCCATGGCATCCAACTGTCCTTGTTGCTGCTGCTGCTGAATAGGCTGTTGCTGCTGTGGCTGTGCGTGCGCGTTGTGTGGTAGTGGCGACCCCCCTCTGGGCGAGGGTGTACCTGAGGGATCAAATGGCATGGGTACCATATTAGGGCTCATGCGTTGCTGAGCCATGGCTGCGAGATAGGCATTGTAGTCCATCTGTGTGGGCCCTCCACTGCCGCTGCCAGGCATCTGATAGCCAGCAGGGACTTTGTAGATGATATGATAACGTGAGATGCAGGGGTATAATACATGGATGTGTAGTTGTATGTGAGGGAATGCAAGTCCATACACACCAATGTATATAGATATACAGATATATAGATACATACACACATACATACATACACACACACACATATATATATAACAATAACAAAAACAATATATATATATGTTTTTATCATTATAGAATATTGTGATATAGAGATTGATTCGTCTCTAGCACACGCATATCTCAAAAGACATAATAAATGTCTTGAACGTCACTACTGGGCCTATGATAAACACAATGTAATCTGCACCAATTCATAAATACATCCTTATGCTGACAAAGTACCATAAACAAAACGATAAGTGAGGTACAAAAAGGCGACAAAGAGGATACGGCGCCAAACGAACTAGATGCCATGAATAGTTAAGACTATCTCAAAACACGAATGCCTTAACCAACTGATTTAATACTATCATAGTGATTAAGTGATTGCTATCAGCAATCGAGCAGTATACTGAGCACAAAAGGTGTGTACTTACCAGGCATGGGTACACCACCCGGGCCAGCGAAGTAGGGAACCATGCCACGCCCAGCACCGTTGGGGTAGAAGTTCTGTCCTGGACTGAAGCCCATTTGCTGAGAGGTGAGAGCAGGTAGGAAATAAGATACATACATACATACATACATACATATATAAATAAATAAATATACACAAGGATGTATATGTATGTGTAAATCTATTTTTATACAGATATGCGTGTGCGGTTGAGTTACCACGCAAAACGGCACCATTTGAGTTCCCAAAGCGTGATAGGCAGTGTATGGGAAGGTAGCATGTACTGCCCCAATTGTGTCGAGTTCAACACTTGAGCATATTCGACCGAAAAGACGATATACATTCACGCACATGCACATGAAACAACGCTCACGATGAGATGGATAGGGTACATATATGACTTGCACGAACCTGGATGAGCACATATAGCGCAATCTGAATACACATCCCAGGATGACAGGAGATACGAGGCATACACACAGCTGGTAGACAACCGGTCAGCAACAGCAACGCCAGACCATACGCCAGGAGTGGCATTGACAGAAGTACACAAATCGGATGCTATGGCGCAGCAACAAGCTGCAATGTACTACACACAGAAAACAGAACACACACACATATATATATACACATACATACATACATGCATACAGAATAAACACTTGCTCAAAAAAGGTACTGCATATCACACGCATCACACACACACATATATACAGAATAACCACTGCCCCCAGAAAGTACTGCATATCACACGCATCGCACACACCAGAAGGTCACCTTCTCGTTCTGCACACACGGGCGTATCGCTGAACAGCTCGCGTATTCGTTCTACACACAATACCCCACTTACCTGGGCCTGTTTCAGTTGCTGCTGCGCCTGTTGGAACAGTATCTGCTGAATGAGCAGCTGCTGTTGCTTGTAGTCGGCCGCATTCATGGGCATGCCTCCCCCCATGCCCCCATTGATCGCAGGCGCGGGTGGCATAGAGTCAGTCCTGCTACCCCCCCCCGGTACAAAAGCCTTGGCGCTCGGGTTGAACGCTTTGGCTGTGGGTCTGAGCTTGGACTTATTGCCCGAGAGTATGGCTGGGTCGGACATCACGGACGGCGAGGCGGAGCTGGGTGTAGCTGTGTTCGAGGACTGTTCCGGCCCCTTTTCCGAGCCCTCAGGTGCAGTCTTGAGGTCACCACCAGCGTTTGTGGCCTTGGTGTCGGGGGTAGCTGTCTTGGCCTTCTCCTCCGAGGGCTGTGGAGTGTCTGTCGTAGGTTGTGTGGGCTCTGCTGTGCTGCCCTGTGAGCCCTGTCGGTCGGTGGGTTGCGTTGGTGTGTCTGTATCCGTGTCCGGTGCCTGTGATTGCTGTATGTCTATGTCCGTTGTTAGCGTTCCCTCACTCTCCGCATTCTCCCCACTACCCACTGTCGCGTCTTCTTTGCCCTCCACCCCTGAGCGGGCACCGCTTGCTTGCTCATTTGCATTTTCCTGGCCAGTACTTGCTTGAGTCAGAGTCAGAGTCTGTTGTGTGGGTGCGGCTGCTTGTACATTGTGGGTATTGGGCTGTGTACCATTCACTGCTGAGTTTCGCAGATGGGGTGGCACATACCGGCCGTCTCCTTGGTCGCGCATAACCGCTCCGTATCTGAGACAGATGAACGTACGGGCGGTGAGAGGATGTTGAGGCAAGGCTCATTATAACGTAGATATATTCAGTATGCTTGGGAATAGATAGGTCGGTGCTTGTTAAAAGAGAGGATGAAACGGATACACGGATATAGAAGGGTTGCAGCATACGTATAAACTCAACGATTGTCCCCTTTCAAATACGCCATCGTGCGGAATATGTAATCAGAGGGCCACATTCACTCAGAAACCTGTACGCATTGTTCACACGCATCATGTATACTTATAGTTTTAATATGTATCGGTACACACGACAATGTTTCAGCTGGTATTCCGCGTTTACGCTATGTCGCAGACAAGCACCGCCCACTCCCCAAACGTGCACTAACGCTTTAAATAAACTCAGATATATGAATATACACATACACATGTATATGCACACGCGGAACTTTACGAATCATAAAATTAATACGCACATAGCAATACAACATGCAATATATATATATATATATATATATATATATATACACATACATACATACATACATACACAAACATACAAATAGATACATATATAGATATATATTGCATGCACGTATCGTTCTAACTATAAAGACACAACATACAGCTCTTCCTCGTCGTAGTCTGCTCCCGGTTGGATGCCTCGTTCCTCCCGCATGTGTACGTTGCTCGTATCGCCCTTCATGATCTCCCGCGCTAACCTTTCGGCTCGGCTGTGGTCACTGCGGTCAAACTCGTGGGGATTCAGAGGAGTGGTGTATAGTGTCTCGTTGAAGTTGGCACTGATTCCGAAGCGCTTGTGGTTCTCGGCGAACTGGTCCCAATCCTTACCCCCGTGCCTGGGTAAGCGAATGAAAGGCAAGAGAATAGATGAATATAGAGATAACACTTTAATCTGATAGGCTGTGCTGTGTATTGGTGTATCGCTCGTATTGATATTCAATGCCTACGGCTGTGTATGCTGTACCAATTTATCAGCAGCTTTAATGCCCCTTATCCTGACCCCCCCCCAACACACACACGCACTATGTACAGTCGCGTTTGTACAGAAACATGCCACTGGTTGGACTATCTGAGCTCAACAGGCGTAGACTGATATATGATTATGCCTACAAGTAAACACTCACGAATGAAAGGCAAAAGCCTATACTATAATACAAATTCTGAGTTGACATCCTCCAGCCTTCACACATGGAATGCTTGCACAAATTCAATAGCACATATAATGAACCGTCGTTTTCCAGACTCCCACCCTCTTCGCCACATATACATCTATGTATGCGTATACACCCACACATACAGAAAT